ATTATATTTGTTTTACACATTTTTATCTTAATTGTACTTTTCGGAATATTCGTTTTTAGGCTTATCCATTACTAATCTTATTAATATAAAATACAACTAATATTTCAGATAGAAATATTAATCTCTACACTTTTCTAACAAATTAACTTCCCCCGTTATGAAATCTGTCAAGTATTTCACCTTGTATTTTAAGTAGCGCTGCTGAAGAAAATGGACGCCCTCTCATTAAGACCATGTTCAGTAGATTAATTAAGAACTGATTTTTGCAGCAAAAACCGCATGGCTATAGACATGTCAGAAGAAAAACTTTCACAACTGTCAATCAATTTCGCCAACCTTGAGAAACTGAACATATCCGTGTGCGACTACGAATGGTCGGATATACTTGTTTTGACTCACCTTTGGCCAAAAATAAACGAAATCATAGCCGCATATAATAGAATTAAAAAAATAACACCACCAGAGGATACTTTACGAGCCCTTACAATATTACGATTGGATGGAAACCCTATAGACTCTTGGCATGAAGTGATGAACCTTGGCAAATTAAAGAACTTGAAAATTCTAAGCTTGAACGATTGTGAGATTGGTGAAATAAGGTTCAACGATGACATGGGCAATGGTAAAGTGGAAATGTTTGAAAACTTGGAAGTTTTATTCTTAAACAGAAACAAAATAAATGATGTAAGTATTTTGCTTATAGGTGTAGGTTCAAACATTAAATGCGCCCGAGTGAAAGTGACTCATAAAGAGAGAAAAAGTCCACTTCAGAACATAGGCCTACCCCATAGATTGTCTCATAGAGGGGATATTTGCTATAGTTGTAATGTTACTGTTGATTTAATAATTTCACCTCTCAGTGCGTCATGTGCTCCTGGTAGGTTATCTTCTATACATCCATCCATTACAGCCTATTAAAGTATATTGCTGAACATAGGCCTCCCCCATAGATTGTCTCATAGAGGGGATATTTGCTCTAGTAATCACTTTGGGCATGCCATTTGCCTACCACAGTTTCTTATTATTTGAGTTACCATTACGGTTAAAGCCAACTTCTGAAACATGTCCAGACCCATTGTGCCTATATTAGTTTGATTCCGTCCATCCGTTACAGCATATAAAAATCCACTGCTGAATATAGGCCTCCCCCATAGATTGCCTCAACATATTTGTTATAGTTGCCATGCATGACAAGCGCCAACCGCAGTTTTTATTTTTAGTTGTTGTCAGGAAGACTCTGCTGCCCATCTCGTGATTTATTTCCCCCTGTAGCCTCTTACGACACCCACGGGATGATATGGGGTAGTGGATATTCTTACACCGCCACTACACGGAAAATTATTATTTTGAGTTGACACCAGAAAAATGCTGCTGTCTATTTCTTGTTTAATTTCCTCTCTGTCGCCTCTGACGAGAGCCACGGGATGATATCGGGATTCCCTTATGTCCTTTACGTACGTTTATACGTGGTAGAGCCATGCTGCAGCTATATTAGTAGTATAGTTGTAGAACGAATGGGTCGGCTCGACCGAGCAAGGACCACGCTCTCACAGAATACCAGCGTAAAATAGCAGCTTAACACTGCTGTGTTTCTTATGGTGAGTGTGGAGTATCGGAGACCCTTTTTACTGGAAAAGAGGCATGCCATCTTAGTTCTCACGGGTGACAACGCATCTGCATTTTGATTCTTTATTAAGGATAGATGTAGATGTCTATGGGTCACAGCAACCACTTATCATCAGGTGGACTGTGTGCTCGGTTGTCACCCTATCCTATAAAAAAAAGTCATCAATGCAGGGCACGGCAAAAGGTCACAATCCCATCGCTGACCTACTTTTTTGCCATCTTTCTGCTATTATCTTAGGAATTGCAAACAAGGTATTTAACTATAATTGTAAGAGAAATCAAAACATATTTATTCATATTCTTTTATAGAAGAACAAATAAAGGTGACCAACAAGCACACAGTCCACTCGATGTTAAGTGGATACTGTTGCCCATAGACATCTACATCTGTCTTAAGTTAAGAATCAAAATACAGATGTGTCGTCACTCCTGAGGACTATACTACTATAACATGACAGCTACATTCAAAAATAAATATATTCTATGAGGAGGCCTATGTTCAGCAGTGAATTTTGATAGGCTCTAGTGAATGAATGAATGAATGAATACATATATGTATATACATGTATAACATAATAAAACAATATTATTCAATATCTAACAATTTAAAATGTTATTGCTTGTATTTTTGGCATAATACACTATTCTTTTATTTTTGTTATGTGGCAACACTGAATTTGAACTGCGTTAACAATATTTTACTATCGTTGCAGTGGCGGTCAGTGAGTGAACTAGATAAATTGAAAAACTTGAAGAAATTATATTTCCTGAGGAACCCAATACAGAATAGTGAAGATTATGATACCACATCTCAACTTGTTATAGCGAAAATTGGCTCTTTACAGGTAAGTTATATGAGATAATAATAAAATATATTGCATCGTCATGATAAATATCTCAATTTTTTATTATATAGTAGAGCTATGTTGCACCTATGTTATGGTTTTAGCACGAATGGTTCGGCTCGACCGGGGTAATAACGGGGGGGGGGGGGGGGGCACTCACAAAATACCAGAGTAAAATGCAGCACTATGCTGCTGTGTTTCATATGGTGTGTGTAGAGAACCGGAGACCCTTTTTACTGGAAATGAGGCATTCCATCTTAGTCATCGGGGGTGATAACGTATCTGCATTTTGATTCTTAATCGAGGTTAAATGTAGGTGGACTGTGTGCCCATTTGTTACCCTTTATTCTATATAAAAAAAAAACCTTGGTAGGCGAGTTGTAACTGCAGTTTTGTACTATTTTGATTTGTTGAAGATACCGCTGCCCATCTTGTTTCTTTCCTCTTTATCTTGTCTCACGACATCCACTCGTACCAAGTATAACTTGTGATAATATCAGAGAAAGGCTCCAATCTAACCTTGATTTTTTTTTTACATCAACAGGAATTGAACGGGTCTACTATAACACGCGAACTACGCAGAGGCGCAGAATATGATTACTTGAAACGCTATGGGGCTGAATGGAAATTGGCGCAAAGCGACTCAATGCGCAAAAGTGCCTTTGATTTGGAGCATTGTCGGTTCCAAGAGCTCATAAACAGTATGTTATACTTGTAATTATATTATAACACCTGTCAAAACAATAAAGTTAGTCTATGCTCCCACTGCTGGCTACAGGCTCTTTCCCTCTCATTTCTAAGTATTATGGAGAAATAAGTCTCGCCTGCTTCAGTGAGGGCATCTAGGACTGTTTCTGCCACCAGGGCGGCGCCACTTTCAAATGAGGTGAAATATTTGACAGATTTCATAGTGGTTAAATTAATTTGTTAGAAAAATGTAAGGGTCAATGTTTCTTTCTTTACTATTAGTTACATTTCATATTAATTAAATAAGAAATGAATAAAGCAAACTATGAATATTCCTAAAAATAGAAGTATTTTTAAAAAAGTTGCAAAAAATTAAAGATCGTACCATTAAGGCATTGTTGTGTGTATTAATACTCTACAAACTGATAAACTTTAAAACTATCTTCTCAATTAAATGGGATTACTTGTTATTATTACACAACTAGCGAAATCTGGTGAGGCTGAGCGGAAGATTATTAGCCCCCTTTGTGAGTGTGGGCCGACTATATGTCTTTAAAATATTTTATATCTTTTGTTCTTTCATTTTGAATTAGCACTTAAGTTTTTAATTTACAATTTCATAGCTGGTAGGGGTGGATGTTCGCGTATTGTGAAACTTACAGCGAGTGCTGAATCTCTGAGTTAGCAAGGCTCTAAAGACAATTTTTAATGTAATACTTATTTATTTAATAAGACTGTGCTGCATTTCGGGAATAAAGTGTAAATTATTATTAGTTTATTAGTAATATTTTATTTTAATTTATCTTCCAGAATATGGCATTCCAGAAGACAGTTTGCTAGTAAAACAACCTAAAAATATGACATTAACATCTCAACTCATAGAAATAATATTGCGCGATGAAAGTGGTAAAATGTTTAAAAAGAAATTCCCATCTACAATGGCTGTCCAAAAGTTGGTCACACTCGCTCAAAGACTGTTTTCGAAGCCTGGCAACACTGGAACACCTACGCTAAATCTGCTCGATGATCAAATGCAAGGCGCTGAAATATGCCTGGATAATGTCATGAAAGATCTAGCCTATTATTCAATCAAAAATGGTGACAATATTCTCGTCAGATTCAGATAATATGTTAAAATTGAAATTCCGACGATGGTAATACTAAACAAAGATATTCGTTATCTTGGTTAGCACGTTTTTGATTTTTAATATTGTTTATATAACAATTGAAGCTTTGTAAATATCTATATTAAAATTGTAATTGTATTTATTGCCGATTTTATTTTCTGAAATAAATATAATATGTATTTTTATGTGCATGTTTTATTGGAACCTTAACCTTTTAGATTTAGCTAGTTAATATGAAAATTCAATTAAAATGTATAAGCACTTGTGACCTTTAACAGTCGTTTATATGTTTCAATCTATTTAAATGCTCTGAAAAGAAACACCTGCAACCTTGGTTCTCAATTCTAACCTTTACAGTAAATTGACGTTAGCTGAGTACATTAAACAAATATATATAAATAAAAAGTAATAGTGGCAGTATATATTTTCTGATAGGTATTTTTTATAGTTTATGGCATTTTGTTAACCTGATAGTTATTTTTTTGATAACATTTAAAAAAAAATTTGTACAATAAATGTTTCATAAAATGAGGTTACATACCGTGTACCTAAATACTGGTCACATCGATCTCTATCGCCATTGGTAACCGTTGTGTCAACAAAAAAATAAATGTTGACAAATGGCTTCTGGCGACAAATTCAAAGTCACAATTTGAATTTTGTGATATAAGCTTGCCTAAACTATTAATAAAGTGTAGTTAATTACTGTTAAGTGATGGGTAATTGTTGGGCGATATTTCGTCGTCGTAGAATACGTCGTCACATAGTTTTAATATTAATTGGATTGGATAACGCGGGTAAAACGAAAACAGTGAATAATTTAGCTGGTGAAAAGGACGATAAAGTTTTGCCTACAGTTGGATTTAAAGCTGTAAATTTAATACACAAAGATACTCCAGTAACCATCTACGATTTAGGCGGCGGTCCTCAATTTCGTCAAATATGGAGTCAATATTACAGCGAAGTGCATGGTATAATATTTGTTATCGACTCGAGCGATTTTTCACGGTTGGACGAATGTAAGGCAGTGCTCGAAGAGGTCTTATCACATGATAGAATATCAGGTAATTGATTTTGAATCGATTTCACAGTTCGGCCTACTCCCACTATTTTTACATTGTTATTTTCTTAAAAATTTTCACTAGATCGCAACATCTCCGTCCTCTCAGCCCTTAAATAGACCTCCACAGTATTAATTAGGTCTTAAACAGATTGTTAGAGCAGTGGTACCGCATTAGCTAGACATAGGCTTTCCACAATAAGGTTTAATATACATGTATGTATGATACAGGGACTACAGAAATACAAGAAATAAATAGATAATGGATTTAGTATCCTTTTTCGATTCTATATTAAAAGCTGAAAGGATACCTTTTGAACTGAAAAAATCCTACAATAGTTTAATCCAAAGTAGTGTGTATATGTGGTTGAGCCATGTTGCAGCTATATTAGTAGTGTAGTTGTAGCTCGAATGGGTCGGCTCGACAGGGGAAGGACCACACTCTCACAGAATACCAGCGTAAAATGGCAGCTTGACACTGCTGTTTCGTATGGTGAGTTTAGAGAACCGGAGACCCATTTTACTGGAAAAGAGGCATTCCATCTTAGTCCTCACATCTGCAATTTGATTCTTTATTGAGGATAGATGTAGATGTCTATGGGTCACAGCAATCACTTACCATCAGGTGGACTGTGTGCTCGTTTGTCACCCTATCCTATAAAAAAAAGTGTTCTATGCTACTACCTAGTTGGACTTCTTTTCTGCGTAGAAGTCTGTCTGGGGAAGTACCACCCCCTTACCTATGATAACCCGCAAATAGCATTGCATGCACTACCATGTACTGTTCTAAAAGGTATAGAGAACTAGTATAACTACAGGCTGTTAGGCATTCCATCTTAATTCTCAGAGGTGACTAGTGACTACACATGTGTGACCTTCTATGTTTCAAGTTGGCTGTAGGATTCCGTGCACTGTAGTAGCTAGTTAGCATTTTATGGACTGTTAGTTCATTTCTCACTTTAGTTTTTATTTAAAAGTCTTGCTCATGTTGAATATGAATTGAATAAACGGGCTGTTTTCTGCATCTCCACATCTAAGTGCATATTTTGCATGAAAAACTCATACTATCTTGCTCATGTTATTTGTTATTATTTGTTTGTTTTTATTTTATTGCCATAATACAATAGATACTTTAGTTTCAGTATATCCTGTAAGTCTACAAAAGTAGCACAGATTGGGCGTGGTCTAGTTTATTATAAATAAATCTTTAGTCTAATAATAATAATAATTTATTTCTAGAAACTTTAATTAAATTAATTCAAATAATGTCTTTTAAAATAGTCTACAATAAAATACAATAGTGTCAGTTATATAAAATTCATTTGCTTACTGTATATAAATAAAAATAACACAGTTTATTGTGATTGCAATATAATTGTATACTGTGAAAATAAAATTATAGTAAAGTTTATTAATAATTTAGTATAAATCTCATTGTCAAATATATTATATATTTAATATAATTAAGTTATTATGTTTAAATCCACATCCAAACTAATTTAATTAATTAAATGTATAAATAAATGTAACACCTGTTATACAGTGTCATGTCTGTTATGGTAGAGGGGGTAGGCAGAGGCCAAACAGTAGTGAGCTATCCAAGCATGCTTAGCTAAAAAAAATATAGTTGTAGAAATTATAAAAGTGATAAGTGGCTAGGCAAGACCTGCACAATTACAAACCCAATCTCCCATTAGTCACTGTTTACAACAAGCTTGACACATGCCTACCTATTATATTACATAATACTGTTGGTACATTCTTTTTTGTTATAAGTCCCAGATAAACATAGGACCTATAAGGCCCAGAATAACGGGAGGCATTTTTCAATGTACTATTTATTAACTAACTCTTTGTCTCTGTGTGATATGATATTTAATAGGTATTTATTTTATAAAATTGTAAGTGATAATGATAAATGAGCAAGTAGTTACACCCAATGGTAATAAGCTACTGCAGCCTAATGGTATATGCAATTAACTTGAAAAAAGAAGAAGCTACAGGTACACGTTCAGATCCTCTTTAAAAGTTGAAATGTTTCACAACCTTTGATTTTATTGGCTTTTTACATTTTAAGTCAGAAGTCAGTAACGAATGGTCCTATACTGGCAGGAAATGGTTTTAATTAAATTCTTATCAGTGATTGGTTGAGCAGTAAAATCGATTTTGTTTACTTTTCTTTAATCACAATGTACATTATGATGTATTCAAAATTTTATTCACAAAGTAATGATAAAAAATAACTAAATATAGTTAACAATGTTTTGTAGTATTTAGAAATGGATTTTATAAATCCTATATCTTTTCTTTCATGTGCAGGAATAAAAATGATGGTACTCAACTGACCTATCTATCACAACTGTCTATATATATAATATTATTATTATTTAACAGGCCATCAGTTGAAACAACTGATAAAGCCCGTATGCTATTTCATATGTGTAATTATTTTAGTTGTTCAACTAATCTGTTCTTGAATTAGTTTGTGCATATATCATTTCTGATGACAGCTTGTTCCATACTTCAACCACTCTTTGGTTTATAAAGTACTTGTGTGGGTTAATATGCGACACAGCTTTAGTTAATTTAATTTGAGCCAAATTGCCTTATACTCCAACGTTAAAGCAGTGGCGTAGCTAAGCGAGGGCGAAGTGGGCCCTCGTCCACGGCCTCGCATGAAGCCCCCACTTAAGTGCGACTGCGAGGCCGTTATAACTACCCTCAAATATCACGACCGCTAGATTGACGGAATACGAGACTTGTCAGGAATAGCAATGTCGTGTCTAAGCATGTTTGGTAGAATAGATCTATTGGGTAGATCTTGGGAACGAAAGAAAAGGGGCCTTGTTGATGCGACTTCGCCCATGTCTATATTAGTTCACGCTACGCCTCTGCCTTAAAGTATAGTAAAAACTTCTTTATTCAATTTAGGTTTGCTTAAAGGTCTTATAAACATCAAAATTTACAAGGGTTCGTAAAATAAGGCCTTCTAAGACAAGATTCAGCAAGAAACAGGTTTTTTGTTAACATTACCGTACAGAACAGAAACTGAACAGAAACTTTTTTTATTCAATATAGATTATAAATAATACTTATTGAAAGTCACTCTTTTGTTTAATTACCACTGGTTCGAAAAAAAACCTCTGTCCTGGGAAGAACCAGCAAGAAATCATGTATGTTACACAATTTACAACACAACAAATTAGAAATAGCTTGGTAACGATCACCTCATTATAATAATCCTTTTTATACAAACTTAGTTTAAAACAATTCAAGTTACAATAAAATCAATACAATGCTATGTTAACAAGAAATCATCATCATAACCATCAGCTCTTGGCCTCTTCCGTTGTATGCTCGATATGGCGGATTCGCTCACGCGTGGCAGCTAGACTACCTATCGCATTATCAGAAGATTCATACCATCAACGTTACTTTTTGGGGATGTTTGATGAAGCTGTGCTATATTTGATACGTGGTAGAGCCATGCTGCAGCTATATTATGGTTGTAGCACGAATGGGTCGGCTCGACCGGGGAAGGACCACGCTCTCACAGAAAACCAGCGTAAAATAGCAGCTTAACGCTGCTGTGTTTCGTATGGTGAGTGTAGAGAACCGGAGACCCTTTTTACTGGCAAAGAGGCATTCCATCTTAGTCCTCACGGGTGACAACGCATCTGCATCTTGAGTCTTTATTGAGGATAGATGTAGATGTCTATGGGTCACAGTAGCCACTTACCATCAGGTGGACTGTGTGCTCGTTTGTCACCCGATCCTATAAAAAAAAAAAAAATATTAGCCTGTCGTCACTTACCTGGCGTAATCGTAATGATTATACGTCTATACTCTCCTATTAATGTTGTCCAGACCGAATTTCATGACGAAATTACGGTGGCCAGTCTTCACCGAGACTAGCCACTGCGCAGGACATGATTTTATTGCACGAGTGATTGCGTAAGCACAGGATGCACTGTCTATTTCCTCACTCTCTTAGTCCGATGGGACGGCAATTCGATCCCGACGGAAGAGAGATCAGGTGCAGTCGCTAATACTTTCTATCTCCGGGCGGCTTATTTGAAGAAGTAAGTGCTACAAACGAGCATACTGTTCACCTGATGGTAAGTGAATATTGTGGCTCATAGACACACATCGTTCCTCGATTAAGATTCAAAATGCAGATGCGTTGTCACCCCCGAGAACTAAATATCTTTCAGTAAAGAGTGTTTCCGGTTCTAATCGCATCATAGAAGATACAGCAGCATTGTGCTTAACGCTTGTATTCCGTCGTCATCTCTATTTCGGGTAAGTTTTGACCAGCACCAGACTAAGAATAAAAAAAATCATGGTGCAAATAAATATATCAGTGACGTCGACCCCTGCATCTTGACGGCACAGGGAATTCATAACATAATATATCTGATGTAAACTTGCATGAATTGGACATCTAACGTCCGATAATTCCCTTAGAGAAGTGTGACCGATAAATTCCGTCTCCACTATTTTCTATTATTGAGAGGTCTGTGCCCAGAAGTACCTACCAATTCGGTAGTAGTATAGTGGATATACTACACCTTTATTATTGAAAGTAGGTGTGTTCCTAGCAATACCAACTCTGTAATAGATAGATTTCGCTTTCTCTATCCTCTATTATTATTTTTACGTGGTAGCATAGCAGTAGATAGCAGCGTAACGCTGCTGAGTTTCATATGGTGAGTGTGGAGTAACGGAGACCCTTTTTACTGGAAAAGAGGCATTCCATCTTAGTCCTCATGGGTGAGAACGCATTTGCATTTGATGTAGATGTCTATGGGTCACAGCAACCAATTGTCATCAGGTCAGGTGGACTGTGTGCTCGCTTGTCACCCTATCCTATAAAAAAAAGTCGTGGGGCAGCCTAAGCACCCATACTCAGGAGTGGATTAGCTTAGTCGTTGATGCTCAGCGAGGGATTCTCCATTACCAGGGCTGCTGGTACCCACGCCTGTATTCTGTGAGGTTGTGGTGCCCACCCCGGATCAAGCCGGCACACACGTGCAACAGCAAAAGCTTCTGCGTGGCTCTACCACTGTTATACTGTTAGTTTATACGTAGTAGAACCATGCTACCGCTATATTAAGGTTGTAGCACGAATGAATCGGTTCGACTAGAGTAGGATCACGCTCTCACAGAATACCAGCGTAATGTTGCTGTGTTTCATATTGTGAGCGTAGAGAATCGGAGACCCTTTTAACTAGAAACGATCTGCACTTTCTTAATCGAAGATAAAGATTTCTATGGACCACAGCATCCACTTACCATCAGGTGGACTGTGTGAGTGTGATCGTTTGTCACTTTTATTCTATAAAAAATCCTCTATTATTGAGTAGAGATCTGTATTACTGGAAATGAGGCATTCCATCTTAGTCCTCACGGGTGACAACGCATCTGCATTTTGATTCGCAAACGAGGATAGATGTAGATGTCTATGGGCCGGAGCAACCACTTACCATCAGGTGGACTGTGTGCTCGTTTGTCACCCTTATCCTATAAAAAAAATTTTTATATATTAAACAGTACTAACTCTGCAGCAGTATAGCGTTTTAAGTAACACGCTTATTATCCTCTATTCGAGGGTCTTAGGCTAAGATCTATAGATCGTACTTTGACTTTGCTCAGTCTTAGCTTACGAAAAACTGAGTATATGCTTAATATAGTCTTTGATTCTGAATTTATAGTTGTATCGGACTAAGATTAAGCTAAGCTTATGCTAAGGCCCAGACAGTCCAAATATTAATGGATGCTTAATTCCACGCATTATATTTTTGACTTTACTGTATGAAATTAAAAATAGTTATATATATTATTTAAAATCGAAAACAGTCCAATTTGTATTTCATAAATGAGTTATTATTACACGAAATAGAAAACGGGCGTATGAGAACGGGAACGGATGAGATGAGTGCAAAATCAGAAAAAAAGAATATTTTAAGAAATCTATACAAATAAATAAAATTGAAGTGTCTGTTTGTATTGTCAAAATTACAGTTTTTTACTAAATGCATATGAAAGTAAATACGGTACTTATAACTAAAATACAATTTTTAAAATTTTTGTCTATCTGTCTGTCTGTCCGTTTGTTAAGGCTAATCTCCGAAACGGCTGAACCGATTTTGACGGGACTTTCACTGGTAGATAGCTGATTTCATAAGGAGTAACTTTTACTTTAGAAAAGGAGTTAGGGTTCCGCGCAAAAAGACAAAAACCTTAACACGCGGGCGAAGTCGCGGGGAACAGCTAGATCGTAATAAGATTGAAATTACGTAAATACAAAATAGATTAATGCTATTTAAAACTAGAAGACTGCCTAAAACTACCTATTTATTGTTTTAATTAATTAGAGTAACATAAAAACAACAATTTAAAACTAATACGGTGCTTTTGAATAATATCCTGAGTTTTACGTAAGTCGTCGATATCGTTGACTTAAGCTTTGCTAAGCGCGCACTCAGCACGACTTCGCAGTTAGCTCTATAAATACCGACATTGTCTTAGCTCGAAAGTAAAGTCTGAGCAAAGTCAAAGTACGGTCTATAGATCTCAGCCTTAGTGGTATGTGCAAAGCAGTGGGACGTTATCGGCTGCTTCTTTGTTTTTTATTACCTTTATATATTTAGACAAATTGTTATTAATGTAAAAGTATAAATTTATGTAAACTTTCTAATTGTTGGTAACAGGTAAACCGGTGTTAGTGCTTGCGAATAAACAGGACAAAGATGGCGCTCTAGATGACATCGACGTTGTGGAAAAACTGAATATTGAGCCCCTGGTAAACAAGTAAGTACACGTATAATTGACATTTGTATAGAAAACGTTAGTATGGAGCTGTAGCGACGACGTATGACAATCCAATAACTATATCACATACCGAAAGTGTACATTAGAATGGAACTGTAGATGCGGTGTAAGTGAATAGGTGACTATTGCTTGGTAGATGTCTGTAAGAGTTCATAGATGGTGATATCTGGGTATAAAGTAAGTAAAGTTGTAGCCCATAAGGGACCCATTGCTGGGCAAATGCCTGCTCTAATTTTTGAGCGGGTCATGAAACAATAGGTCCGACGGGTTGTGTTCCAGTGCATGTTTGTGTTCTTCATTACACATGTCCTTTTACCAGCGGCACCTTGCGTTTAATGTCAAATTCGACCCATTTTTTTATTGTACCACGGATGAAAAAATTTGGCATAGACTGAACCTTTTCATAAAATAAATATAGCCTATGTCGTATTCTGGTTCGGTATCTTTAATATTGCCAAGTTTCATTAAAATCTGTTCTGTAGATTTTGCGTGATTGAGCCACAAACATACAAACATCCAAACAAGCTTTACATTTTTAATATTAGTAGGATTCCTCAGATAAGCGGATTTCTCATCGATGTTTTCCTTCACCACCGAGCACGTGGTAAGCAAGCACTTTAAATTGTAAGAAATAATTTCATCGCCGTGGTGCTGAAAGGAATCGAACCCGGGTTGCTAGCGTACTGTGAAATCAAGCTTGTATAGTTAAACTAGATGTAATATACTCAACCGGCGACGAAGAGTAGCGTTAAATATGCGAGATCGCCGAGATCTTTTTGTGGCAGTGCCATGCTGCAGATGTATTATGGTTGTAGCACGAATGGGTCAAATATGGGAGAAGGATGGAAGAAGCATTGCCCTTATGCTCTCGCAGTACTCGTATATCAACGTACAGAAACTTTTTACTGGAAACTAGGCATTCCATTTTATTCCTTAACGGTGACGACGGTGCATTTTGATTCTTAATCGAGGGTATATGTAGATGTTTATGGGCCTCAGCATCTACTTACCATCGGGTGGACTGTGTGTCCATTTGTGACTCTTATTCTTTAAAAAAAAACGCCACTTCGCCTGCCAAGCGTTGCAGTGATAAAAGATAAAAATACGTGATAAATGATCTTACTGCCATAATGTGCAGAGCACAAGGTACTTCTGGCAATTCTCATAGTTGACTAACGACACCTGGTCGACACACCTCAGTTTGCACTGCAGCCTTAACACCATCATGGCTCTACTACGTTTGGCTGATATAAAATATTTCACAAAAATAATTTAAAAGTATATTTTCATTAGGTACCGATGTCCTACCTTAGTCGAATCGTACACTGCTTATCCGTCAGACGGTAAGTCGAAAAAGCCTAAAATCGACCCCGGCTTACGCAAGGGCTACCACTGGCTCCTAAACTATATAGTGCGCAGATACGGCGATATTAATTTACGCGTACAAACCGACATACACGCGGACTTAGAAAGACGCAAACGATTGTTAAACAAGGCTGCAAATAGAGCTTCTCAAACTTTCACAGCGATAAGTGATGACATAGCCACTCAAACTGGCTTTGAGAACCCCAATTTCGATCCGAACACTGCCGAAGTAGATCGCGAGACGAATCTACAACGTGGTTTGATCATGGTGAAACCTATAGGTGTTAAGTCGAACAGTGTAGATACGACTATAACTGTAGAGAGTTTGGAAGATACTGACACCAGTGGAGTTAAGCCCAAGTTGTCGCCGCTGTTCGGTCGGGCCAGCAACAGCTCGACTGTCAGCGAGACTGTCAGGATAGAACTGGAGCCGAGGAGTGAATTTAGAAAGCTATCGCCGATCGTGAGGAGGAAGAGTACCGCAAGTCAACAGTTTGACTTCAAGATGAGGCCTCATTCCAGTCCAACGAAGAAAATGAAGGTAGTTTCACATTTTTCATCGTCATCATCATTACAGATAATCATCAAATTACCACTGCTGATGTTTCATATCCCTCTATCGCCTCTTACGCTTAATGCTGGTACGGTGTCACCAGCATTCGTATGGTGAGTGTAGAGAACCGAAAATCCTTTTTAATGGAAACGGGGCATCTCCTTCTTAGTCTACAGGCGTGATACGCATCTGCATTTTAGTTCTTAATCGAGAATAAATTATTATGTCTACGGGCCACAGCGTCCACTTACCATCAGGTGGACTGTGTGCTCGTTTGTCATCCTTATTCTATAAAAAAAAAACCCACGGGTGATACACATAGCGTAAGAGAATTCACTATCTCATATTATCATCCCGAGGATATCACAGTTTTAGATACGCTTTTTTCTTAGATTGACTCGCTCTAGATATTTCTAGCATTTTGCAGCACCTATGGTCACTGGATTCTGAAGCTTTAATGTCTATGACCAGGTCCGGGTTAAAACTATGATGCTTTCAAACACCTTTGTCTCAAAAATTCGCTAATAAATACATATTACTTCAATGGAATAAAAGACCCAATTCAATGCGATAAAATCTATACTCAGTTCAGTAGTTTAGGAGTCCATCGCGGACAAATAACGTGACACGTAATTTTTATATACAACTAGCGGGCCAGGCAGACGTTGTTCTGCCCTTTTCGACGACCCTTCATATAAAAAAATCCTTAAACTCGTAATAAAAAATATTGAGTGTCACTTATCAAGATAAAAACTATCCTATCTCTCAAGTTGGATCAAACTGCACAGAGTGTGCAAATTTCATTGAAATCAGTTCAGTGGTTTAGGAGTTCATCGCGGACAAACAATGTGACATGTAATTTTTATATATAAAGAAGATTATTATGTAATTTAAAATAAATATATTGTATAATATTTGTCAGACTCTTCAAAACAATGATGTATCAAAGAACTCATCGATACAAGAGGATGAAGATAAGATGGAGAGTTTTGATGACAAATACGCAGGCGATGTCACTAGAACTATGGACCCGGCATACGATCTGAAGCATCGAGTGTTCATCAAGGATGTCGAACTTTCGCAGTTGCATCGAGAAGTTATCTTAACCGAGAGAGGTAAGTTCAGATTATTTTTTCTTTTATCTTCTTTTTAGCTGAATGCGGCGCTAGCTAAGATAGACGTAGCGCTATATAGCGCTGCGTACATTTCAAATGTATAACTTCTTGACGCACTCACGCACACATCTTTTTTCTTTCGTTCTTTATTAGCCCGTTAAAAGTTCGCTGCTGGCCGCACACAGTTGCTACTAAAACCATTTTGTTGGTTAAAAATTGATTTTAGATGCATATGTGTACATGAGTGGGTATTGTTGCAATAACTTTAGCATGGTACATTTGTACATGGTAGAGCCATGCTGCAGCTATATTAGTAGTATAGTTGTAGCACGAATGGGTCGGCTCGACCGGGGAAGGACCACGCTCTCACAGAATACCAGCGTAAAATAGCAGCTTAACGCTGCTGTGTTTCGTATGTTGAGTGTAGAGAACCGGAGACTCTTTTTACTGGAAAAGAGGCATTCCATCTTAGTCCTCACGGGTGACAACGCATCTGCATTTTTCCCCTAACGAAGATAGATGTAGATGTCTATGGGCCACAACAACCACTTACCATCAGGTGGACTGTGTGCTCGTTTGTCACCCTATCCTATAAAAAAAAATGGTGGCTTGGTTTTTGCATCACTGGAAATGTATGTTCTCTATTTCTTTCTTGCTCTGAGACGTCCGTTTGTAATTGACAGTGATATATCAATGAGGGCTCACCAGATGTCGCTAATTGGGACTGATGTAAACTTATTGGTCAGTGACCATATCGGTCACTGCGTTTAAATAAAATATTTTCGGTTCCTAGTTTATATACGAGTATATAGAAACTAATCCTCGATAATCATTGGTACATGTTCTTTTTTTTTTTTACACATTTTGGTTTTTTTCTTCTACTTTTAGGTGCATCGGTAATTTAGTTCATCAATTTTAATACAATTAATGCAAAATAAGTTTTTTAACAATTTCATATATTTTTTTTTTATAGAATAAGGGTGACAAACGAGCACACAGTCCACCTGATGGTAAGTGAATGCTGTGATCCATATATATCTACATTACGTTGCCACCCGTGAAGACTAAGATGGAATGCCTGTTTTTCAGTAAAAAGGGTCTCCGGTTCTCTACACTCTCTATACGAAACAAAGCAGCATTAAGCTGGTATTCTGGTATTCTGCTATAACCATACAATTAATATAGCTGCAGCATAGCTCTACCACGTTTTTACTTCATTTCAGGAGTATTTACTTTTACTGTGTAGGCAACAATGATTCGTAAGGCAGGACATGCGTAAGATGATCTATCCCGGTGGAATTTGAGGAATTAGTGACTTTTGTGATTACTCTCTTAATTACTTCCATTTCTTCGAATTTTATTTTCTTCTTCCTCTGCCAATAAACAGGCTATTACAACATTTTTTTCCATAGCTTAATCAATGTCACAGTGCCGTTTCACACCAGTGGTTAGAAAAAACTGCAAAAGTTGTTGGCAATACTAAAGATTTCCGAACGGTGCGTACGGTACTGAGAAATGTGCGATCACCTTTAAAAATGGCGTATATGATCTCTCGAAACCTTGCAATGTAAAAAATAATTGCAAATGACGTAGATATACCTAATATTTTGTACTATTAATTTTGGATCTTTGTTGTATAATAGATATATGAATTTGAATTTAAAAATAATATCGTGTTATGGATACATAACGAAAGAAAAGAGAGCGCCTATAAAATTTTTTTCGCCGATGTATCCATCCATCCATTACAGTGTACACATGTATGCCTATTGTATGTGCAGTGGACGTAAATACACACACACATGCATGTACACACATGTACAGCCTATTCACGTCCACTGCTGAAAAACGTAAATTTGTAAACTACCCAATGTTTACTTATAAATGAAATAAATGGCTAGATTAATGAAATAGAATAATGGCTTCTCTTACGCCTTCAACACACGTTGGTTCGTCTTTAACATAACATATTATATACTCATGCCCGTCACACAGGGTAGTAGGCAGAGCAGAGACTACAAACTTCCATTTGGCATGATTCTAACACGCTTCGCTCGGAGTAAAAAGGAGTCTGTAAACATTCATATACTCACGCATACATGCACGACGATTAATGGTACTCTTAATTTAGCTCAGCTTCAATATATAGCAATTTGGTCGATTAGCTTCATTTTTAATATGGTCCTTACATATGAAATTGGCGTTTTGTACGGGAGGAAAATAAAGTCAATTTTTTTTTTGTAAAATATATTTAATTAATCAAAGTATGCACCGTTGTTATCTATGCACTTGCCATTCCATAGGTAGTTCATTGATCCCTTTACTAAAAGAACCATGGGGACGAGAATCAATACACTGTTTGGAGGCAGTTTGGACTGCCGCATAGGAGTTGAATTTTTTCCTTGTAAGAAATTGTCCAAATTCCGGAAAAATGGTAATCTGTTGGAGCAAGGTCCGGGCAGTACGGTGGATGTCGCAGACATTCCAACTATAGCTCATCTAACTTAGTGGTTGTTTGTTGTGCAGTGTGTGGTCTTGCGTTGTCGTGAAGCAGCAGTGGCCTAAAGCGATTGACCAATCTCGCTTGTTTAGCAGCTAGTTCTTTCTTCATGGTTTGCAGTTGCTGACAATTGATATCTGCCGTAATCGTTTGGCCAGATTTTAGAAAGCTGTAGTGAGTGACACCGGCGCTTGTCCACCAAACACTCACAAGTAACTTTTTCTGAGTCAATTTTCGTTTAGGGCAGGATTTGGCTGGGTCTCCAGGGTTCAACCATTGCGATTATCGTACAGTATTAACTTTTCATCATTAGTAATATTTCGATTTAAAATCCCTTCATTATTGTGTCGGTTGAGCAAAGTAACACAGCAGTCGACGCGTGTTTGCAAGTTCGATTCACTTAATTCATGAGGTACCCATCATTCAAGTTTTTTTACTTTCCCGATTTGCTTTAAGTGGATTAATACAGTTTTATCACTTACCCCGAAGCCTGCAGCTATCTCTGAAGTGCTTTGTGATGGATCCGCTTCCACAATAGCCTTTAATTCTTCATTTTCCGCTTTGGTCTCCAGCCGTCCACGGGGTTGGTTCTGAAGGTCGAAATTTCCAGAACGAAAACGTTGAAACCAAAAACGTACCGTGCTTTCTTTTGCGACACTAGCGCCGTACACATCATTAATCCTTCGAGCTGTTTCTGCAGCACTGATGCCACGGCCGAACTCGTACTCATAAATATATCGATATTTCATGTTTTCCTTTGTGCGGTAATAAGCGAAGCCAAAGAAAAAAATTATGAGGAGAAAATAAATGAATGACTGTTTTCAAAACTCAAATGTACCAGCTAAATGTATTTATAAATTTGAATTTGGAATTCTTCATCAAAGAGGAGATATTTCAGATCAAAGTGGTCAGTAGGTACGACAAAACGCTAATTTCATATGCAAGGACCTAATATCTTATGCGTTTTATTTATTCTAATTACCCCCATCACGATCTCCCATAGAGCCTCAAACAAAAGCCGCATCATCAGACATCGGTCCCCCGCTAGCGACTTTACCTCTTAGCGCCCGCCCGGCTTCAGCGTCACAGCTGGTGAGACGTCAGCTGGAGCTATGTTCTCATCACAAGAGGAGACTCAGTTTGCGTTGTAAGTTTTTGAATTTGAATAATTTTTATTTAATATAGATTGCAATAATACTTATTGAAAGTCATTTATGCTTTTACTATTACTTTGGGAAAAACCCTTCTGTTCTGGGAAGAACCAGCAAGAAACCCAGTGGGATCTTGAATAAAACTACCACACTCACAATCAATTCTCACAAATACAAGATGCAGGAGTGTACAAGCTTAATTGTGAGTGTGGTCTCTCATATATAGGGCAAACAAAACGATCAATAAAAACCCGCGTAAAAGAACACATAGCTGACGTGAAGCACCAAGGGTCCGGGAAGTCTGCAGTTTGTGATCATATCCTAGACGGCCCCCGCCATTACATTAGATTTGATAAACCACAAGTTCTCGCGATAGAACATCGATTCCTGCCAAGGATGATACGTGAGGCTATTGAAATTAAAAAACATCCTAATTTCAATAGACAGGGAGGCTGGGTACTACTAGGTGGTAGTAGCTTGGGATCCTGTAATTCATAAAATTAAAACTAAACCCAAGCATACCACTGCAAGACTTCAAGACACAGTTAGTTCATTCTGCGTAGATCGGACCAAAATTAATAATTAAAAAACTGAAGGTACTCCGGGTTAACTTTGACATCGGGACGTCAATCACCTCAGTCCCCCGTGACCACGGTTGCTGGAAAGCAACCGAAACGTCGGGAATATAAAATAACTTAATTAAACGCGATATAATCCGTAAAATTAGTTTTATTCAATGTGTAGTGTTCGCGTAAGTATAAGAAATCATTATGTAAACCAGTGGGATCTATTATGAAATTGTAGTTATTGGTTGTTTTTATAAAATTAAATGAGTGAGTAGTTTAGCAACGAGTTACGGCTCTAAATCGCGCGGCAGCAGAATCGAATCCCGCACGGAACTAAATATATGTATGGTGTACAAATAATTATTCCGGCTCTGGATGTTTGTCTTTGTGCAATTTATGTATGTAAACTGCTTAACTATCTTTCTTCATAGAAGAAGGGGCTAAGGAGCATGCGGCTTTCCTGATCGTAACGACTGCCCACAAACAACTGCAGCAACACCATGGGAATCGCAGATGCGTTCTTTTATAAAGAAGCCGACTCTTTTATTGAAAGGGGTTACTCCGTTTATTCACCCTAAAAAAATCCACCCTAGGATGAATACTCGGTAAACGGTGAATACGCTCACCTATCCACCCCAGACGAGGTGGATAATCGGAATTCGTATATTATTTTTTCTTCCGATTTTCTCCCTTGGCTGAGTACAGTTATTTACAGAAACACGATAAAAACTGGTAAAAGATACTTAGTAGACATTAGCTTACCTATAAAAATATATGCATACTTCTTGTTTGAAAGGTCAACGCTGAAATAAAAGGAGTACCTCACAGAACTACAGTCATTGGAACCTTGGCATAAAATAATTTAAAATGAAGTTAAAGACAAACATCCAATAGTAACGTTTTTGGAATGCTTGCAAAAAACGCCCAGTTCTTCGCAACACATCTGTTGTAGTACAGAAATCAGTTACGTCTACTCAATAATGAAATTAGTGTTGGTAATTAATAATAATAATAATAATTTATTGACACGCACATAAAGAAAAGTTACACAATAAAAAACGTATAATATTATTTAAAACGAGGAAGTTTAATTTGATTTAAATACAACACGTAATGCGTGGATTTAAAAAGTTGTAACGGTAACAGTAACGCCAGTACGTAATATGATTTTTGTTTAAGTTTGTGGTTATTAAAAATTAATTAATAATTAACGTGCATGTATTGAACTGTACTTGGGTTAAAAAGTCGGAAGAACAAAGTAAAATTGAATTCCGAATAGTCACCCCGTCTGGGGTGGATAGATGAACACACGTTTTCGAGTATCCACCCTAGGGTGGATTTTTAGGGTGGATAAACGGAACAACCTTTTGAAAATCTCCAAGTCTTATTAGTCCGGAATATTACGGATTCTACAAAGTTTTCGGATTAACTTTTTAATTGATATTTTGTGATTTAACTGTTTCACTTTCGAGCCTATACTCTTGTTGGTCCAATTGTCACCAACATTTTTCACGACACAGCTGAGGTGTTTGCGGTTCTAATGTCATAGAACCTTCTGCTATTAAATATAAGTTGGTTCGTTCATCACACCGATTTCATATCGTAATGTGTTTAAGCTATTTCTAGACGTTATCGTAAACCTACTAAATACATGGTAGTACTACTCCTTTTATTCTTAAAAGTTAATATGGGTAGGTGTACTGCTGTGTATCGGTTTGAAGGTAGAGAATAGAGAACCAGTGCAGAGGCCGGCAACCTGCGGCTCGCGAGCGACATGCGGCAAATATTATTTATTTTATAAAAAAAAAACATTTAAAAATTAATCCACACTGAGCCTTAATAATAAGTAGATTAGTTTTTTTTTATCAAAAAATGATTTATGCAAGTACTATTTATGGTTGGCAAGAAAAAAATTTGTGGCTCTTTAAAAACTTTGAAATTTTGTATATTGTAATTTTGGACTCTTCCGACTCAAAAGGTTGCCGACCCCTGAACCAGTGTAATACAGGCTGTGAGTGTGAGGCATTCCATATAAGTACTCTGAGGTGACAACGCATCTGTAGCCCTTGTTTGTTGAATTTGGCTGCAGGTGTCCTTGAACTGCAGTAACCATTTATCATCTAGGTGGTCTGTAAGTTGTTTCTTTTTCTTTTTTTAATGAACCGTGGTGTAGACGTGCATCGCAACAAAACAAGTCCGGAGCGTATGTCGATGATGTTCTACGAGCCTAGCAAGGCCCAGAGGCATCTCGACAAGGGGGACTTCCAACACGCGGCCACCATTAACTGAGAAGGTAATAATTTTTTTTTTAATTTTATGTTTTAACTTTATACAACATAACATATTGTTACGAGCTTGGGGTTCGAGATAATTAAGAACTGCCGAGTGAATTACCAAAATTGACTATTTAATTACACAATACTAATGACAACTTAAAATCACACTAATAATAAAACACAGTTCGCCGTTATTTCGCTTCGAAGTATTCTCTTGTATCGCCAATTCAATACTGCCCCGGTCGTGGTCTATACCGGCCTTATATAGGGCCTCAGATAGTTTCCAGAACCTTCTACTGTAGCGACATCTAGAATGTTCGAGTACATATCGGTCCCGAAATTTCTGGAAGGATCTCGACTCTCCTAGTTCTGCTACTCGACACTAGAGGGCGCTAGTGTAACTAGTGTTGCCATGTACAAGACATTAATAGTGGCGCGCAACAATATTATAATGGTATCTGGTGTTCTGTGGGAGCGTGGTCTTTCCCTGGTCGTGCCGATCCGTTCGTACTGCATACATAGCTCTACCACGTGTAACAGTTATCATCAAGTCTTGCACTTGTATTATTAATAATTTAAAATTTAAAATTTTGTACACCGAATTCAATATAAATTATCAAGAATAACTCAAACACTATTAATCAGACCTTGATCAAATTTATATGGGACCACGTGAGAAGGACCAGCTTTCAAATAAAAAAAAGAATCATCAAAATCGGTACACCCAGTAAAAAGTTAAACATATAAACATAAACATAACATAAAACATAAAAAGACATAAATAAAAGAACATACAGTGGAATTGAGTACCGTCTCCTTTTTGAAGTCGGTAGAAAATTAGAAACAAAATTAAATCCAAACCCTAGCATACTACGGGTTGGATTGGATTTATACCAAGTAGAAGCTAGAATAGAAAATTAAATTATTCCTTTTGACCTTGAAAACTTTTACTATGAAAATTATGCAATTGATTTTTTTTTAATTACAGGAAACTGTTGCTGGTACAAGAGAGATATAAGTTGATTCTGTTCATTAATGTTAATCATGGATTAAATGCCCGTTTCATAATTATTTTTCTTTTGATAATTTTCAAATTAAAAAATTTCAAAGTTCGGTAAATAAAATATAATTATTTTCTTTCAACTTTTGTTTATTGTACATTAGTACATTTTATATTAGAGTGCTATTGTTTATAAATCCTACATTTATGAAAAGCAATTATGAAATGAGGTTATAAAGAATATTTTTCTATTTGAATAGAATAATATATCTACACAGGGTATAAACATAATAAATTATATAATCGGAGGTTGCTATAAAATTTGTTTAAAAATATTTTCACATAAGGTATTGTTAAAAACTTACACGGGGCATAAAAATAACATTGACTTAGTTAAAAGGCTGTTTGAAAATTAAGTTTCACATAGAAATAAAAACCTACTTTGAAAAAGAACATAGATTAACAAAAATTAAAGAAGTATGCAAATAATGCCCCATTTATATATTATTGGTGCACTATTGCCATTTTTATATTACCAATATCCCGAAATACAGGGAGATAAAATACTACCAAGATGTAGTTAAAATTTATAAGGCTGCTAACACTGGAACATATTCGGTATTAAATTTTATTCAATATATAAGTACCCACACAATTTTAGAATTTATGTAATTTTACAAAGTGCTACCTAAAAGAACTTAAATTTTAAGCAAACTATCATTGCATATTAGTAGCCAGTCACTATGCTTGATCACCAATTAAACATTAAGGTTGTGATTAAAAAATTATTGATTGATATAAGTTGTTCTACTCTTTGAGTTTAGATCATTTTGTAAAAAACTGATCTTAACTTTGTTTACGTTCTATTGTCAATTCAACTCTTCATGTATGATTCTTTCCACTTTTTTTTTAAGTTTTGCGAAAATTATAATTTAAAAACTAATAACGTTTCGATTTTTTTCTGTTACATTTGATTAAATCGCACTTGCAATGCTAAAGCTGTTTTTGTAACCTTGATCAACTACTTTTTCTGCCACCAGGGCGGCGCCACTTAAAAGTGAGGGTAGTGATATTTGACAGATTTCATAGCGGTGAAGTTAATTAGTTCAGAAAATGTAAAGATTAATGTTTCTTTTTGTATTATTAGCTATATTTTATTTTATATTAATTAGATTAAAAATAAAAAAGCCAAGGCACAGATATTCATTAAAGTTGAAAAATTCAAAAAAGTTAAAATTGTGCAAAAAATTAAAGAGCAAACCACTAAGGAATTCTTTTGTGTATTAATATAATACTCTAGAAAATGATAAACTTTTATTTAAAACTAACTTCTCAATTAAATGAGATTGAGTATCAAAAAACTTTACCTCAGTGTAACTAGCGACATCTGGTGAGCAGAAAATTATTAGCCCTCATTGCTAAAAAAGCTATACGTACGATCTATATATTCCGTTTTTTATTGTCTGTAATTTGTAATGTTACCCATTAATAAAATATAGAGAAAATAAATGCAAATGTTTAAAGACTTAAATATTCCTTTGTGGTATTTGTAAAAAATTTTTACTTGTTTTTCCAAATCGTTCCGTTTGATTATTAACATAAGATTCTACATCGCCATTTTTGGTACAATGTAGACAGAGCGAAATTGAGAATTAAATAGATTCTCAAAATTCGTAGTCTAAAAAACAGCTAATTTATTTGTATGGTTGACAAAAGAATAAGTAATAATTATTTTATAAAAATAAACAAGACCAATAAACAAGACTAATAAGTCAATAATATTTTCTAGAGCACGCCTGGTATTCGTGCAAAAATACGTTTTTATATTCTTACCTTATATAAAATTGGATAAGATATTGCAAGATGCATAGAGATATAAATATACCTATACTTCTAAGTCAGTGGCAAGATGAGTGAGAGTTATTATTGTTTGGATTTTTATCGTTGAAAAGAAGCTTTCATAAATAATATTATAATTGATTTATAAATAAGTTGTCATTATACCACGTACGTTAGTGTTAGGTCAGATTATATTAAAAAAGAATTGTTTAGTTTTGTATTTTGTATACGATTAAACATGTTTATTAATAAATTGTAAAATTTATACGACTTGTTTTAATTAATAGTACAACTTTTACTTTTAAAGTCTATAAATGTTGTAGCGCATTTAACTTCGTTCAGGTCACATACTGTTAAATAAGTTCCAATTTCTGATGGGAATATCAGATTCCCCTAACTGCTAGGAGTGTGGTACTGTAGAAGATGTGCACCATGTTTTGACGGAGTGTGTGCGGAACGAGGTACGAAGGTAAGATATGATATTTTTGCATTAATCACTATGTAGCATTTGCAATGCTATTCTGTCTATCATCTCCACTTTGTCAAGAGGCCAAAATGCTAATCAAATTTTTTTATCTTTTCCTACTTATAAGGGTAATCATATCACAGTATTTTTTTATAGGATAGGGTGACAAACGAGCACAGAGTCCACCTGATAGTAAGTGGTTGCTGTGACCCATAGACATCTACATTTATCCTCAATAAAGAATCAAAATGCAGATGCGTCGTCACCCGTGAGGACTAAGATGGAATGCCTCTTTTCCAGTAAAATTGGTCTCCGATTCTCTACACTCACCATACGAAACACAGCATGTCGAGCCGACACATTCGTGCTACAACTATACTATTAATATGGCTGCAGCATGGTTCTGCCACGTATTACGTATGGCTCTACCATGAAAGTATTTTGCAACATATTTATTTTTAGTGTTCCGTAGTTACACAACAAAGGAAACTTTATAGTTTCTCCATGTCCGTCCATCCGTCCGTCCGTCTGTGGTTTTACTCAGAGACCCTAGGTGCTACAAATCTGTAAGTTGGCACAGTTATAGATATTAATCACGCCTACAAAACTGAGATCTTGATCTTGAGTGGTATTTTTCATTAGAATCCATGTGTCCCTCCTCCCTCTACCAACTAAACCGCTGTTTTTGGAAATGTGAAAGTATACACGATAAGTAGTATTTATAATGAAGTTAAAACGAAAACTATCACAGCTAAGTAGAATTAACAAGTCAATGAGTAATAATCGACCAAGTTACAAAATGCACTTGGATAATTAAACTCCATGGAAAATTACATAAAGCTAGCTGCATTATAACTATGTAACGTTATTTGTAAACTGTAAGAAATAAACATTTTATGAAGAAAACGATAATTTTTCATCATCAACAGCCTGCGGCAGTCCACTGCTTGACATAGGCCGCTCCCAAGGCGCGCCACTTAGACCGATCTTCGGCTACACGCATCCACTTTCTACCAGCCACCTTGCGCAGATAGTCGCTCCATCTGGTTAGGGGATGTCCCACAATACGCTTGCCATACGACTTGGAATATACTACATGTTCATTTCATGAATGCCGTTACCTCCCGCCGCGCTCCCTCATACCGCACCTCAAGCGTCGTCCTTATAGTACCGATTGCAACACGATCTCTAGTTTGTTATTGTTTGGTTGTTACTGTACTTGGTTTTGGTTAATGTGTGATAAACACAGAATGGAGTGATGGCAGTGATACAGAAACGAACGATTTCGATAAAATAACTGGTATCGAAGTTATGGATGCGTAAATATCTACCTACCAGTTTTTGTTCGCGCCTTCGTAAATAAATCATTTAAAATGTATAATAAAACTACCTATATTAAAAATATCTTATTTTATCGGACACGTTTCTAGTCAGTGTTATTATTTTACTTTACTAAATAAATAAATTATTCAATAATATGTATTTTACCTACTTGCCGGGGCAAATTTCCAGGGCAAAATTATTAATAAGTTAATAACTGTGATGACAACAGGGCAACCGACTAAAAATCGAACTTCTTACAATTAAACACAATAATAGTTTTGTCTACGGTACCGTCAGCTGTGACGTTTTTTTATACACCGCCTATGGGGATTGGCAATGGCCTTTGAGGCCTTTATGCCAAATCGGAAGCGACCCTCTTTTGGGA